TCATGAAAGAAAATGCCAAAGGTTCTGTACTCTTGTGGCAACTATATCCTATTCTAGGGCAAAAAGCAATGCTTGAAAAAGCCCTGTAAGGGCTTCCTGACTCCAGCAGCTTGTCCTGGAGACCTCGCTGGCCCGCAGAGCCACAGCAGCCCGTCCCCAGGGACCCTCCGTGGCTGACGGCCTTGGCTGGGCCAACCTGTGCTGTTGCTGTGCTGTTCCTTCTCCTAGAATGGGCTTCCTCCTCTCCTCTGCCAGGGGTGACTATCTTCACCAAACGGATTTTACATCCTTTTCCTTCAGAAAGCCTTTTCAAATTCAGACATTTTCCTCGAAACCCCTTCAGCCATGATAAATTAACTTCAGCTCAACAAGCCTACGGTGAAGGTCTAGACTGAGTAAATCATTGTGCTGGTGTGTTTGGGGCACAAGCTGTTAAGAAGCTGTCCCTGCCCTCAAGGAACTTACAATCAAAATTCAGTTGCACATATTTTGCACAATATCTACAACATAGTTATCTTACCATGTTAGGTTCTTGTACAGGCCAAGTTAAAACATGGGCAAATATATTTCACAACTGGCCACTTGTCTTTATACAAACTCCCGACACACTATGCATAGCTTCCAAGATAAATGCCGTCATGACCCCTGAACACAAATAATGATTTGCCATAGTGTTCACTTTCATTGGTGAATTATTTTTCTCCTCTTCCATCACCATCATCCTCTTCTTTTCCCCGAGATAAATTCATTGAGCACTTCCTTGTGCCCCTCACTATCCACATGAGGGACAGTGGCAGCCAAAACTCAGGGGTTTGGTTTATGCTCTACAAACAGTAGGTATTTAATAAATGAGAGATCCAGTGCTTTTTTTTTTAATTTGGCCATAGATATTCCCCAAAAAGGAGGAAAGAGTGGGTTTGACACAAAGAAATCTAATTAATCTATTTGTGCCCTCAGGGGGCTTGATGTAGGTAAATGAGAAAGAAGGGGGGAAAAAAAGGGTAAAAGCTGGTGGGGGGGCAGTAAGAAGAGGATGAATCTAACCTTCCACATCATCTTAATGAATACTTTCAACTCTCCTGTGCCAAGGAAGTATTATTAATTGCTCGTACATTACCAATGAGGAATCTGAGGCTCAGGAAGGTCAAGTAACTTAATTATCTGGTTATAATCCTGCTTTGGGACTTTAACGCCGGTGACAGGGCCACGATCTTTCCCCCACAGCATGGTGCTTCCTCAATGGTGGGCAGGAAAAGGGGAGAGAGAACACTGAGAGAAGAGGCTCAGGTGTAGCTGATAAATGCAGACATTGGGGCCAGGTGGACCTGCAGGCGTCACTGGAGAGCCAGGCTCCATCCCGCATCGAGCCGCTTGGGCCCCTGCTCTCCAGGCCCCAGGGCCACTCCTCTGTCCCCTGACCTTGGAGCCCTCTCCAGGCCCGTGCTGTTCCTCTCACCCCATGCCCATCACTCCACCCTTCCAGTCTTGGCTTCCATGCTCCTCTACTACCAAGCCGGGAGAGCTTCCTGCACAGGAAGAGAACAGTCAAGACTCCGGCAGTCTCTGCAGAGCACACCGTTACTAATTCACCATGTCACTATTAGCACAGTGGTCCTGGCTACCAAGCGCTGACCGCACAGTATGGGCTTGTAACCCTCACGGCATCCTCGTGTGTTAGGAAGGTACTATTATTCTCACCTTATAAATAAAGAAACCGAGGCTTAGTAAGATCAATGAAACTACATAATAAAAAGGAGCTCGACCTCATTAGCAGTCAAGAAAATGCAAATTAAAACTCCAATGAGATAACTTTGACATGAATCAGACGGGCATATTTGTTAAGCTGGACAACATGGAATGTTGGTGAGAATGTAGAGCAACAGAAACTCTTAACACTGTTATCCAGGGCATAACTTTCCACTTGGGAGAATTTGCCAGCGTCTACCTAAGGGGAAAGGCACCCACCTTAGGACCCCTCAGTCCCAGTCCCCTCACTGAAGACACGTACGCCATATAAATGCTCAGTGAACACAAGAAAACCGGCACAAAAACGCTTACAGCAGTGCTGTTCGTGATAGCAAGAAAATAGGAACCACCTAAATGTCTGTCAAGAAGCACGGGTAAATACATCGTGGTGTGGTTACACAATAAGATACTGTAGAGCGATAAAATGGATAACTAGAGCTAGACCTAGCTAAACAAATAGCTCCCAAACGTC